GGCTAAGTTTAGGCAGCCGGACTCATCCTGATACATCAGGCCAAACGTGGCTCACAGGAAACTGAAGATGTGGGCCACATTTGGGCCAACGACTAGTAAAGTAGATTTCCATTTTGCAAACGATTGAATCAAAGTCTGCCTGCTTGTTAAACATGTTTACATTACTTCTCCTCTCCAAAGGGAACCTTTGTGAGCGCGAGATTGTTTATGTGCGGTCTGTTAGGACAGTCAGAAAGGATCATTTCTCTGTCCCTGAACAAGGCTTTGCTGTTATTGTTTACAATGAACAAGGGGATGTGAGATGTGTGCAAAGACACGCTCACATGTTCTGCAAAGCTAGTGCACGATAATCTGATCAGAATGAAGCGTCTCTTTCAGAGAGTTTTCCATATGTGCAAACTATTTTTTCAAATGTTCATATAAAAACATCTCCAGCAGGTCTTGATGGACCATAACACGAGCAGCAGTATAATGAATGAAATGAAGGCATACGAAGGTACTTTTTGACACAGTTCTGTAGCCTTGAGTCCTGACATTTAATAACAGCCCCACCAAGTTAAATATACACTTAAAAGCAACACCTGCCCTTTAAAGTCAAACTCAACTACAGTGTGAGATTATGCCGACAAACACAGGCCAGGAATAACTCACTAGGGCACAGCACGCTGGCATGTCTGTAATTCAACACGGCTAATGCGGCACGCTAATATGGAAAGTTCGACGACACGATTCGAGGCTTCAGCGCTGTTGATGGATTTAGTGATTTTGAAACCCTCTGAATCACTAACGGCCCAACATATCTGGAATGTGAACATGTAGAGATCTGAAAGCTGTCAGATATATAACAAAAACATGACACACGCCCACACCTGCACCCGCACAAAGATGTTTTACAAAGTTAAGACGAGGAGCCCATACTGTAAATCTCAAAGTCGCATTTCACTTTAAACACTTACCAATCTGGTCCTCGGGTATGAGGGACTCGATAGGGGGGTCGAGCTCAGAGCTCTGGCGCAGGTACGCCTTCATCTGTGTCATAAACTGCCTGAGAGTCTGCAGGAAATCCATCCCTGACGTGTGACAGCTTCGATTCTCCTGAACGAAGCCGATGTAGTCCTGAACCAGCGAACCAAAGTACGAGCTTTTGTCCCGGGACAGCTCAGCGATCCTTTTCACCGTCCGCCTCTCCGGGGTCATGAGGGAGCTGAGCATGCCGCTGACCTTAGTGAAGCGCCCCTTCAAGGCCCTGGGGAGGATGAAGGAGCTACCGCTTATAATCACGCCGACCTTTCGGCTCCGGGCTCTGAAGGATGGACGGAGGCGCATTTCTAAGTCTGTCTCCATGCCAACTCCGTAGTCCTCCTCCTCTTCTTCCCCGTCGTCATCGTCCTCACTGCTGTCCTCCACCGGGTCTTGGTGATTTAGGTGTAATGATGGGGTAGGGGCCAGGCCCAGGGAGAATCCGGGAGACTGGGAGTATTCCAGTGAGTCGGAGGAAGAAGTAGACATGCTCATGTCGCTGAGTCGCTGGTGTCCCCTCTCGTTAGGACCGGACGGACTCTCGGTGTTAGTCTCCAGATCTGCAGGGGGGGCCGGTTGAGGCTGGCAGGATGGCAGTTTGGCACGAGACAGGGCCTTGGCGATGGTCTCATCATCCAGGGCAATGTGGCAGCGGTGAGACTCCAAATCCGGCTTCTTTGGCCTCGGAGGTGGTGGGTTTGAAGGCGCGGGGATTGGTGAGCTGCCACTTTTGGATGATCCGCTGTGCTTGATGCCCATCGAAGGTCGAGCCGGTGCCGGGCGCTTATTCGAGGATTGGTGCTGCCTTGTAATTACAGCCTCCGGCATGCTCTTTGGTCTGGCAGTAGCTGCTGGAGGTCCAGGTGGAGGCGGGGCAGGACGCCGGCGTGGCATCGAGCGCGGCGGCGGGGGGCGAGGTGGCCGCGATTTGCTGTTGGGTTTGATCTTGTCCACGTGTGGATCACTGCTTCGGCTGCCGGTTAAAGGCTTTGATTCCTCTGCATTCTCCAGGGTGGACTCGACAGCCTTCGAAGGCGGCTCCTCCTCAGAGCTGCTGCGGCGGTGCGGACGGGTTTGGAGAAAGAGCGGGTTAACAAAGCACAGAGGACCGCTGGAGTGTCGTCTCTCTAGGTGAAAGTTAGGTGGAGGCGCATGGGATTGTAAGGTTGCCGGTGCGCTGTCACAGTGAGCCCTGCTGCGTCTCTGCGGTGACCCCTCGACCTCGCTGTTCCTGTTGGTCCGCTGGGGGCTGAGGGTCCGGCTCAGAGGGCGACAGGGACGGGGGGAGGTGTGCCGCTGGCTGCACAGGGCAGAGTCCCAGAAACCTGTAACACACAGACGTAAAGAAACCGTCAGAGGCAAAGATTAGCCAGCGTCTCCTGAGACGAGTCGAAACTCCCACAGAATAAATCCTCAGAGTTTTCGGCGGGTTTTCAGCACTAACTTTGTTGGCTCCCTTTAAGTTTTCAAAGTTTCGTCCGTCTTTCCTGCTTGTTTGTCGTCTAGAAGTGTTCCATGCTCAGCCCGTGCCTCTCTGCTCTGACTCACTGGATGCCGACACACACCCAGAAAGAGGGAGCCACACACGCTAATCACACAGTGGGAGGGCACTGAAAACTCCACATAGCGCACAGTCCCTCCACCCCTTTCTTCCTGCTCTGCATTTCCTTGTAGCTCTGAGTAGATTCACTCTCAGTCTTCTTTCTTTCTAATATCTAGTGTTAAATTTAAAGTCTGTGAATCTCATTTGAACAACTTTCTTCTTCTGTTTCTGTCGTTACACTGACGGTGCAGAAACATGCCCGGGGAGTGGAGGAAATGCTCTCTCACTCCACTGAATCATCCCATTGTTTTCAGCTGCTTGGCAAGACAGACCTCATTCACTACAAAATAAAGCATCTGTGGAATCCCATCGTAAACGCACGGCTACAGC